TATGCTTTGTTGCCTTCTTTTTGCCAAGTCACGGCCGCGCATACGCAGAACTCCGTTCGGCATTAACATGTAAACAACAGCTCGGAGCTGCTGGAGCTAACATTATGGTAAGCACTGCTATACTTTACTGTGAAGTTATGTCTATAGTAAGTACTGCTATACTTTACTGTTGAGTTATGAACACGACTGTTATGATAAAACACAGACATAAATTAGATCTGCCACAGATGTGTGTATTTAACCTTGTTATCTGCTGTAAATAAGCTCAGTCCCGAAAAGCTAATGCTACGAGGCTAGTTCATTCAGATTCGGTTTTTGAACAAGAAAAATCATGTTGTGTTTTATCTTTTAGGGAGAAACAAACCCACTGATTAAATATTAAAGCTACACTGAGGAAATAGTCACGTTTTCATGGAAAATCACTCTGCAGCACAGCAGCTATAGTATCAATCAATCAATCAAAGTTTATTTGTAGAGCGCCTTTCATACACATGGCAACACAAAGCGCTTCACAGTCCACATCACAAATCATCACATAAAACAAACACCAGAATCACAATTAAAACATTAAAATCACACAAAAGATTAAAACACAATTAAAACATTAAAATCACACAAAAGAATAAAACCATTAAAACTTTCAAAATTACACAAGAAATTTAAAAAAATAAATAAATGACAGCAGTGCATTAAAAATGGAGATAAAATCCTTCAGTTGTATGCACAGGCAAACAGAACAGTCTTTAACCTGGATTTGAACATTGACAGAGTAGACGCCTCCCTCACATTTTCAGGGAGATTGTTCCAGATCTTAGCTGCATGGATCTGAAACGCAGCCTCCCCATGTTTGGTTCTCACTCTGGGCACCAGCAGGAGGCCAGTCCCTGTGCTCCTCAGAGTCCGGGCTTGTTTCATATGACACCAACATGTCACTAATGTATTCTGGTGCAAGGCCATGGAGAGACTTGTACACAAGCAGAGCCGTTTTAAAATCTATTCTTTGAGCCACAGGAAGCCAGTGCAAAGACCTGAGGACCGGACTAATATGGTCATACTTCCTGGTTCCTGTCAGGACTCTAGCTGCTGCATTTTGGATGTACTGCAGCTGCTTACAGGTCTGTTTGGACAGACCTGTAAGCAGGCCATTGCAGTAGTCTAGCCTGCTGGAGACAAATGCATGGACAAGAATCTCCAAGTCTGCCCTGGACACTATATTTCTAACTTTGGCAATGTTCTTCAGATGGTAAAAAGCTGTTGATGTTATTGATTTTATGTGGCTATTGAAATTTAGGTCTGAGTCCAGTATTACCCCCAAATTTCTGACCTTGTCTGAAGGAAGTAGGGAGAGAGACTGAAGTTGACAAATGACGCCCTCTCTTTGTTTCTGGGGACCAAAGACAATGATTTCGGTTTTGTCTGTATTTAGCTGGAGGAAATTATTTTGCATCCAGTCACTGATCTGTTGGATACAGTGAAGGAGCAAATCCAGTGGTCCATGTTCTCCTGCAGTCAGTGAGACATAGATCTGAGTGTCGTCAGCGTAATTGTGGTAGGACACTTTGTTTCTTTGTATTAACTGACCTAACGGCAGCATGTAGAGATTAAATAGGAGAGGTCCCAGGATCGACCCCTGTGGTACACCACAGGTCAGGGCCACATCATCTGAGACGCAGTCTCCAATCTCCACAGAGTACTTCCTATCCTCCAGGTAAGACCTAAACCAGTCTAGGGCTGTGCCAGTGACACCAGCCCAGTCCTCCAGTCTCTGCATGAGGATCTCATGGTCGACAGTGTCGAACGCGGCACTAAGATCTAACATGACCAAAACTGTGACTTTACCTGCATCAGTGTGAAGTCGAATGTCGTTTGTTACCTTCACTAGAGCGGTCTCAGTGCTGTGGTGGGGTCTAAACCCAGACTGGAACATATCAAAAGAATTATTCATTGTTAAAAATTCAGTAAGTTGTTGGGAGGCCACTTTTTCAAGAATTTTTCCAATAAATGGCAGATTCGATATGGGGCGATATGCTAACACATGTTTTCTGTATTCATATAAAATAGATTGTGCATATCGTTTTTAATCCCATACTGAGACTGGGAAAACTGTATATATTAGACATATGAAATTATAGAATAGGCCAAGAATAATTATAAAGCCCTTTTCATACAATAGTCTAATAAATAGTAAACACACATTATACAGAGGTTTCGTTTGTCATTAATAAGACATTTGCAGAGGACAAAGTCCCACTTCCACAAACACAGGTTTAAAGTGGTTAGCCATGCTCATAACTTGATTATTTGTGTATATTTCTATCATATCATTCTTCTGTTTCCCCTGCTGTGAAGCTTGCATCTCTAATATTAAATACTGTAAGGATTTCTGTATTTTATTTTTAACCAGTTTTTTGCAAAGCCCCAAATAAATAGTATTAATTGAATATGAAGTGTAAAAAGAATCCTAAATGTGGGCTGTGTTTTAATGCATGATGTTTGTGTTCTTCTTTTTCAGAGACTTGTGGTGAAATTAAGGTCATAATTTCTCCAGCTTCACGTCCTGCTTCACCTCCATCACCTCCTGCTTCACCTCCATCACCTCCTGCTTCACCTCCATCACCTCCTGCTTCACTGCTGAAAACATTATGAACTACAACAAACTTGTATATAATATTTTCCTTTAATCAGCAGTCATGAATAGTTAGAACAGTGGGCTCTTTATCTCTGAAGACATGTAGCAGAAGGAGCAGCAGCAGAAGGAGCAACAGGAGGAGTAACAGCAGCAGCAGAAGGAGCAACAGGAGGAGTAACAGCTGCAGCAGAGGGGGCAACAGGAGGAGTAACAGCAGCAGCAGCAGGAGGAGCAACAGGAGGAGTAACAGCAGCAGCAGAAGGGGCAACAGGAGGAGTAACAGCAGCAGCAGAAGGGGCAACAGCAGCAGGAGCAACAGCAGCAGGAGCAACAGCAGCAGCAGCAGCAGCAGGAGCAGCAGCAGAGTCCTGGGCGTCTGCCTCTGACACAGGTCTCATCGACAGCACTTCACAGAGAACCTGAAAATAAAGAAAACAAAAATTGTTGGTTTTATTATGATTTTGTTGTTTGTGTGAAATGTAAAGAGTCATCAAAGTGAGGTATTATTTACACAACTACATATTTGTCAGCAGTACTTATACTTATACTTATAATTGAATACATTAAACTCAAATGTGATTAGTAACGGTCTGTTTGCTTTTCAAGAGACATAAAAGTGAATAAGAGCAGTGTCAAACATCTGTGTTCAACTCAATTTTACAGATGTCTGTTAATGTTTCCATGGATGTGTCAGTTATTATTATTATAGATCCATGGATGTTCCGGTTATTATTATTATAGATAAATGGATGTTCCAGTTATTATTATAGATAAATGGATGTTTCTCTCTCATCAGCAAACACACGTTACAGTAATACATTTAGTTCTGATAAAATTACTTTTAAGTGATGCACAAACGAGGGCCATAGCAAATATATAATCCATATCTAATAATCATTTATTGCATATATGTGCATTGTTTACATAAGATATAACTTTGTAAAAACTAATGATTACTGCCAATACAATTGTTATAACAGAGAAAGTGTAACAACAAAAGCATCCTCTGTTTTTTCAGAATACGATTGTAAACATCCAGGGGGCTCTCATTACCTGAACCCGTGTTTAGACAGCCTGTTCTGGGCTTCAGCACTGCAGCTAACTGGGCTGTTAGCTTATAGCACCGGAGCTTCAGGCTGGAGGTAAAGTCCGAAAATTTTCGAATTTATCTCCAAACAGACTTCTGATATGACAATAAAGGGGGATATTTCTCGCCTCAAATGATATTAGAATTAACTTTTATGTCCTAATTAAAGCGTATTTAGAACTTTTTACCGTCCATCATGGCCGCCGTGTCCTTCCGCTCCGCTCTGAGTTGTGTAGTCACGTGACGAAGGCAGAAGGCAGCTGCTGTCCAAATCCACATCACGTCTCGCCTCCTACCTCGCCTGTGGCTACGCGGCCTTCCCTCGATGCCTACATATCCACCCTACGCGGCCCGATGCCTAGCGTTTTGGACACAGCCAATGAGCGAGAGAGAGAGACGCAAAGAGCGAGAGAGACGCAAAGAGCGAGAGAGACGCAAAGAGCGAGAGAGAAAGAAGCAAGGAGCGAGAGAGAGAGACGCAAGGAGCGAGAGAGAAAGAAGCAAGGAGCGAGAGAGAGACGCAAAGAGCGAGAGAGACGCAAGGAACGAGAGAGACGCAATAACGAGAGAGACGCAAGGAACGAGAGAGACGCAAGGAGTGAGGGAGAGACGCAAGGAGCGAGAGAGACGCAAGGAACGAGAGAGACGCAAGGAACGAGAGAGACGCAAGGAACGAGAGAGATGCAAAGAGCGAGAGAGAGAGATGCAAGGAGCGAGAGAGAGACGCAAAGAGCGAGAGAGAGACGCAAAGAGCGAGAGAGAGCGACGCAAAAGGCAAGAGAGAGACGCAAAGAGCGAGAGAGAGCGACGCAAAGAGCGAGAGAGAAACGCAAAGAGCGAGAGAGACACGCAAGGGGCGAGAGAGAGGCAAAGAGCGAGAAAGAGACGCGAGGAGGGAAAGATGCAAGAAGAGAGAGAAAGGGAGAGACGCAAGGAGAGAGAGAGAGAAACGCGAAGAACACAAACAAGAATTATACACGCTATGCCTGTATATTTTGATTGAATATGAAAATATCATGTGGTGCGACCATCACAGCTACCTCTCCATGAGTTGTAAACTTGATGTTTTATTATAATATATAAGTTTATATATGAAAAAAATAGTCAATTGTTGTACTGTTTAAAATATATAACCATGCTTTTCCTTCACTCTTTTCATGAATTTCACAGATTGGGTTGTTGTTAAATCTTTGATATGCTCCAAATACTTTTTGAAAATTGGTTGCCAATATTATGCACATTTTGCAATTATGACTACAATAAAAACAGAAAAAAATTATTTTATCAGATGCCCACAACGGCCCCCCCTTCGGTGGGTGGGTCCCTCGCCGCCATAGAATGCCGCCCAGTCAGAGGAATTTGCGCCAAAATGGCGTCTTCCTTTCGGTAGCAATTCCGCCAAGGGATACTTTAACATTGCATAATGTTGCAATGTTAATGTTTTTAATGGAAGTCTCATCTTTTGGGACTAACTGCCAGCCAAAAAGGGAAGGAAACCTTTTAAATTCCATAGTTTAAATTTGGGTAAGGCTGCAAGGCTCATATTTTAGTTAGTTGACCTTGGAGGATTCCTGCATCTGTAGTCCGAGCAGAACCGTGCAACTCCAAGGTCAAGGGATTAAACCAGGGTGAGACGAGGGTCAGGCCTCTATTTTCAATGTTTTTTCCCCATCAATTAGAAATGACCTTAGGTACGGGGCTAATTTTACTGTGTGTACATGTCACAGTGGTGTATATTCAAGGGCCAAAACTACAAGTTTGTTTGACTTTTGCTTCTATCAAAGGTCGAGAAAAAAAAGCACTTTTTTAGGCCTAAATTCTATTTGGGTGCCAATTTCACTGTGGAAAATTGGCCCTAATGCAGGGGTGTCAAACTCATTTCGGTCCGGGGGCCACATACAACCTAATCTGATCTCAAGTGGGCCGGACCAGGAGATGCTCTACAAAAATATCCAAAAACGGTACAAAGTCCAACTTTTTGTGCACATAAACACATTTATTTAAAACTTCCTTTAAAACACTGTCCTTTAATACTCAGTTTTCTGTTACAAACTTAAATGTAACAGTGCGTTTTCCATAGTGCAAATAATGTAATGTATTTACAATATTACATTGAAAATGGTATTTCACAATATGTATATTAATATTTGTATGTTAGCTTTGTTTTAAGGCTCATTACAGAGAAAACTCGCTCACAAAGGTAAAGTAGGTAGATAGAAAAAAGCACTTTAACACAGCACCTCAGCTTAACCATCTTCAGTGTGGTCAGGTCCATGGTTATGTTTTTATCACATTAACCATCTTCAGTGTGGTAAGGTCCATGGTTATGTTTTTATCACATTAACCATCTTCAGTGTGGTAAGGTCCATGGTTATGTTATTATCACATTAACCATCTTCAGTGTGGTAAGGTCCATGGTTATGTTATTATCACAGAGAAAGCATCAAACTGACCATGATTCACTTGAAATGAATAAAACAACTTCCATAAGGTGATCCATTCTTAACGACTGCAGCAGTGTCTCTGTGTAAAATACAGTCAAATGTCCAAAAAATCATCACCTCCATTTGCAGCTTTGTCACTACACCTGTTTTTACCATCGGTACCCGTCCACACTGTCCAACACACCAGCAACAACAGCAGAACCAGCAGCAGTACCAGCAGCAGCGCTCAAAACTCCTCTGATAGTTTCAGTAACACCACAAATGAATATGTGACATCAGTAACATCAGTCTCTTATCAATGGCAACATGTTGGTAAAAGCGAGTGGTTTCTCAGACCATGTCTGCAGCCTGTGAGAGTTTTAACAAACTCTCTCTCACTGTGCGGCTGCGATGCTAATGCTAATGTTGTTAGCACAGGTAGCTTCCCTTTACAGCAGCAGAACTAACCTCTTGCTCTGGGCACAAACAGACTGCTGTGTCTTCAGGGCCAGACATGTTTATCTTCTGTTTTCTCAATTCTCCGCTCAAAGTGCTGTATTTTTCGTCGAGTCTTGTAGTTTAAGATGTTATTCTTCCAGCACCGCTCTGGTGGAGCCACTACAGACGCACTGGACTCACCCCTGAGCGCGGCGCTGCGGCGTCGCGGAGCCTCGCGTCGCGGAGCGGCTTTTTAAAATGTATTATTATTATATTTTTACATAAATGAGCCGCGGGCCGTGTCAAATCTCTTGGTGAGCCGGTTCCGGCCCGCGGGCCGTATGAATGACACCCCTGCCCTAATGGAAAAAGGTTTGATTCCTTTTATGCTCCAAAAGATGGGAGACAATCATACTTTGACACAATTTTCCACTATGTTACATATTATCCTCTATTCAGATGTTTTTGTCCCGTTTTGTTTTGACAACCAGAAACGGAAATAGCGCCCCCTAGGTTCTTATCTATTTAAACATGGATTCTTGAAATTTCGTGTCATTTCCACCAAAATCCACCATTTCACGGACATTCAAAGGGTGAAAGCGAGGTATTTTTGAAGCCCCACCTTTCCAAAACGATACGCCTGCCAGACACCAAACCTATGTCGTTGGACTCGTCTCATTACCCTTAACGACATACTACGAAGACAACTTTCCAAAACATGTAGAAACATTGTTGACCACGATTTTCAAAGTAATTATGAAGATGGTGTCAGGGGCCTAGACCCTGACCCCATTTGAAAAACTGATTTACAGACAGCCAATTAACTCTCATGGGGGTCCCAGCAAAAATCCATTCTCTGTACCATATTTGGTAGCCCTGGGGTCAAAGGTCAAGCTAAAAGGCCCAAAAAGCACTTATTTAAAATCATGCCCCTAACAGACTTTTTGTGCTCCAAATGGAATTTTTTACCACATTTTGAGCTCTAAACCATTTTAGCTTAAAGCTAGGAGGCTGAAAACTCAGTATGTTCATCACGAGAGCGTGCCGAACGCGACAATATCAGCCACTTGGTCAAACTCAAAGAAAAAGGGGTCAAATTTGGACAAGACTGTCTTCTTCTAGTTGGGGTCATTTCTGTTTCTGTTTCTGTTTATTGTTTATTGAAACAGGGACAGTGTACAAAACCATTAGTCTTTACAAAAGAAGAGATGATTTGTACCAGATTTAGCAAAGTAGCTATTTTCCATCTGCAGTCCCTGGACAGGTGAGTACAAAAATCATTACAATCTATAAATCTAATCTACAATAAAATCACTATATAAAATACATTAGTTTTCTGTACACTTCTAAAAAAACATATAAACAATCCCTACAGTTTACAATACATTCATCAATGCTGACACGATTGATGATCTAAAATATACTTTTTCAAATTTCGAGTAAAACTATTATGATCTACAGACAGTTTCAGACAGTCTGGAAGCTCATTCCACTGTTTAATAGAGCGAAATGAGAAGGCACATTGTGCAAAGGCCGAGGATCTTTTTGGGATTACACAGTTTTTATTTGCAGTGGACCGAGTGGCTCTCGTATTTTGCTCAGAACAAAGTCTGACAAAGTTCTTCAGTGGTGGTGGAGCTGTATTATTAGTGATTTTGAATATAGTTCTTAGATTATTATATAGAATTATATTGTCAAAACTGAGCAGTTTGAACTTACTCAGGATATTGCAATGATGATAACGAAGTGGTTTTTTGTCAAGTGCCTTTAAAGCCTTACCCCCCGACTCCACCGGGCGCGTCTCCGTTGACGCGCGTTGGCTGCTGTCCGTCAGCCGTCCGTAAAACGGACCAGTGGTCAAACCGGCTGCAGCAGCAGCTCTGGCTGTGCGTTTATCAGCCTGCTTTATTTTTGTAGGAGACATGTTTGGGCATTGTGTGAATGAATGAATGTTTGGCTGATGGAGGAGTTATGTATTGTCGGCGTGCATGTGTGCGTGAGCGTGTGCGTGAGAGCGCCCGTGTGTGTGTGTGTGTGTGTGGTGGGAGGCGTGTGCGTGCATGTGTGTTTGGGTCTGTGACTGCAGCGTTTATTATGATCCAGCCTCTTCGTTTGTTTTCTACTTATTTAGCGCATGATACACTTTTATCGGAGCCAACTCGCCTCTCTGCGGCTTTAGGCAACAGGCAGAGCTATAGTTTTAAATAGAAGAAGCGGTGTGTGATGTGCATGAGCTGTGGCTATGATCAGTGCAAAGCACGGCATTGAAGCATTGAGGACGTCGCGATGGATGAGGCAAAACTTATTGAAAGCAATTGGAAAAAGGGGAGAGAGAAAAGAACTCCAACATATCCAGTGTTGTGAGATCTGTCTCTCATAAGTGCAGCTCTGTGTGTGTGTGTGTGTTGTCTGTCTGTCTGTCTGTCTGTCTGTCTGTCTGTCTGGGAGCGCGCGGCGGTGAGGAGAGAGCGCCTCGGAGGTAGACGGGACAGAAGAGCGAGGTGTATGTAAAGATTAACATTACGCGAAAAATAAATGGTAGATTTACGATCAGGAAACAATTATTTAAATTAATACATGAAAAACATTACACACGTTTGTTAATAATCATTGTCATTAACAAATACTTATAACCAAGGACTACAGCATATATCAATACATGTTTAACAATGTTGTAAATATATTATTCCATTGCATTTTCAATGGAAAACGGACCCGACACGCGTCGACGGACGGAACAAATAGGATTGTTTCTATTTCGTCCGTCCACGTCTTTTGCACCCTCCGTTGACGGAATAGGTCCGACGTGCGTTGGACGGACGCATGCGGAGGCAGTGGAGCCACTTCCATTCACTCTCATGGAGATAACGGAGACGGAGATGAAACGGACATGTTTGGACGGATCCGTAGTCCGTTTTACGCGCCCGGTGGAGTCGGGGCCTGATTGTACACAGATCTGAGTGGTTTGAGCGTGGTCTCCTTTGCCTGCGACCAGCTAGATAAACAGTAAGTAAAGTGAGGAATTATCATGGCGTTGAAATAAGTGAAAGCCGCCTCGACTGTCAGGCTGTTCCTCATATGCTTTAGAGAGGAAATGTTATATTTAATTGTGTTGGTTACTTTTTTAACATGCTTTTTGAATGTCAGTGTTTGGTCTAAATAGAGCCCTAAGTATTTTGTTTCCGTTACATTTTTTAGTGTCTCTCCATTTACATATATGTTAGGCATCTCTTTAGTATTATTTATTTTATGAAAATACATGCCAACTGTTTTACTAGTGTTTAATGTCAGGCATGAAGATTGGAGCCAATTTTGGATTTTGTCCAATACTGAAGACAACTTTGAGGCCACTGTCTGCATATCCCTTCCATGTGTGAAGATGACGGCATCATCTGCATACATAATTATATCCAGGTCTTTGCACACATCAGGGAGGTGATTTATATAAATGCTGAACAGCAAGGGCCCCAGGATTGACCCTTGTGGGACCCCGGTTGTGCAAGGTTTAAAAGAGGATGT